ATAATCAGCGTGATGGATAGTTGTTCTGATTGCATAGGCATTATTATTATTTCAGCAGGAGTCCTTGATGTGACCAGAATAAAACAATTAGGCTTTTAGTGATAAATGTTCGTGTGGATTTTAAAACTTGAATTACATAATAAAGGAACTTTTAGCTTATTTCCTCATAAAATACCATCCTTTGGCAACAAAGTGTTAAAAGAATAAGGGTGTGTACCTGCAGATCAGCTAAAAATGGACAATGTCAGAGGCAGTTAACTAGTAATTATCCCTTACTTGCAATATACTACAGTTGTTGATTGTTTTTGGTTTTACTTGTCTTTACAAACATGCAGTGAAAGCGTCTACCAGCTCCTGTCCCAAACAACACCAGAGAACACCAGTAAAAAGTATGCTGCTTACAGCATCGACCCCAGAACACGGTACCTAAGAGTTAACTTGTCCGCCATCCAGACCCATCAGGTTAGTGGTGTTATCTTTTATTTAGTCAACAGAGATTGAAATAAAGCCTTTAAGAAATAAAGATTTCTTAAAGCCTTCATCCTAAAGTTCATTTAGGGAGGCAGAAAACAGTCTAGTACCTTCTTCAAGTGCTCTTCAAAGCAAAGCTGTGTTAAGAAATGAAACATGAAAATTGATGAGAGCAGTTTATCAGACCTCGGCTTCTAGTCAATGCATCTGCTGTGTTAAACAAATAGATCTATGTGAACTAAACAGGTTAAATGTTGATTTATTGACTTCATCTTCTTTGTATGTACCGGTCACTCAACTTAGGTGCAGCACCTGTACGACGTTGAAAAAACTCATCCGTCGTTCAAGAAACAAAAGGAGAGTTCACTTCACATGCGTCAAGGTCAGTGACTCCTTTGACGGTTATTCTGGTTATTCTGGTTATTCTTTCCTGGTCTTGCTAAATGAACCGGGAAACACGATTGCGATTAGCATTGGCATGAAATATGCAACTGCAAAAGCTGTTCGAGGTTTCTCTGATTTATTGTCTGGTTTATTGCTGTCCCAGATTCAGCTGGCGGTTCTGAGGAGCTGTTGAAATGGTGTCAGAAACACACTGCTGGGTATAAAAATGTGAATGTAAAAGACTTTACACGGTCCTGGAGGTCCGGCTTGGCTCTGTGCGCTCTGATCCACCACTTCAGACCTGACCTAATGTGAGTTCCTGCTTAGTTTTTGTTCGGCAGTACAAGAGTGCTTTGATTTTTCTAATCATTCAATCATTATCTAATCAATGTAACCAACCGTCTTTGCTGTTTTCTCATTCCTTCCAAGTGATATGTCCTCCCTGGATGAGTCTAACTGTGTTCACAACAACCAGCTGGCTTTCAGTATCCTGGAGAAGGAGCTGGGCATCCCCCCTGTCATGTCTCCCAACAGCCTGGCTAACACTGATCACATAGACAAGTTGACCATGGTTCTCTACCTCACCCAGATCCAAAGCGGTTTCGCTTTACCAAAAAAAGGTGAAAGTTTTAGAACAGAATAAAGAAAAAAGCCATAAACAAAATGCAAATATTACCAAAAGTCAAATTTAATCAGTGCATTTGCAAAATCCCACAGTCCATCGAACGTCTCTTTAAATATAAGCTTATATTTTATAAACATATTTATATATATATGCAGTATATATTAGTAGCTATTAGTGACAGCAATATCAGTCTTGCATAACTCTGTTGCCTAGACACAGCAGCATTAGAATCACCTTAAAAGGTTCAGGTGTCCTCCCACTGAAAAATGTTCAAGAAACGTTCAAATCAGTGCTACCCCTTTAAGAAGCATATTACCCAGAATTCATTTGGCTTAAGTGGCTAGTGCTGTGCTCAGAGCCAGCCTCTACTGGTTGTGCTGCTCTCCTGCACTTGAGCCAGCCCAGCAGCAGACAGATCAGTCATCGTGTAGAGCTGACTTCTCGGGGGTCTGATGTGAGCAGCGCCTCTAGAAGGGGTTCTGCTTTTCCTGCGCTGAAGGAAGGGTTTCCCCTGGCTTTTTGTAGAGGTATACGTACAGTTTCTTTTTTTCAGTGTGTGGACTTATTCAGTGTAGATGTGAGCTCAGCCTTTGGAGGTACTGAATGAGCTGAGGTGGGTGTGATATACTCTGTGATGCTGTGCTTGTGCTCCGCTGACTGATGTGCAGGCAGCAGGGAGCTGTCAGTCTTGGGTAACCTTATCTGAATGATGAAAGAGTGGGAGTGATAGTCAGAACTGCAGCTGAAGAGTTTTTTTGATGTAGATTGACAAGTTAAATCCAACTGCTGCTTGATGTGACGCCACTGAAAATTCAACTAAGACTGATTTGTCATATTTCTGATAGAGGTTTAAACATAAATTATACTATCTTGACAATTTTTAAAACAGTGCCCTAAGAATATACTGGGCAGCTGTATTGAAGAGCTGCAAGTAGGCCAACACTCACATTCAGATGTCTTTATATTAGCACTCTAGTCTAATTTAAGATGATTTTACTGTCTGTCCCTCTTTGACATTTTTCATTCTTGCATTTTCTGTTGGCAACAGAGCCCACAGGCTTCCAGCCATCGTCCAAGTCTCTGTCTCTCTCCCGGACACAGTCAGCTGTCTTTTTCCTGAGCAAGCTGAAGCACAACTCTCTGCAAAGACGTAAGGTACGCCCACTGTGCAATGAGTTCACTGTTTACACAGCACGGAGGAATCTTTGATAAAGACATTTTCAAACACACTAGCTTGTTGGCTGGAGTTCACTCCGGGGCCTTCGGTCTGTGTTCTGGAGCTGTTGGTGACTCACACGTCTGCTTTGTCTGGGATTCCTGTTTGTGATGACAAGATGTTAGATGTTAATTCAGAGGAAGCGGCTTTTGCTGTTCTACTCCTTGATACTGTTTAATCATGTTTGTTTTGTAACTGTTCTCGATATCCTCAACAAAATCAGGTCATCTGGTAGTTTATTTTATTTTCTCTGCAGGAAAAGCTGGCAGCTAACAAACAAGCCACTGGAACAGCGACAAGAATGGGAGATGAGGACAGTGTGAGTGTGATTCAACAACTCGATCTGGACTATGGAAGCTTTCTGCATGATACTGATCTTTAAAAATCATCGTGCTCTGTTGTTAAATCTCAATCTGCCGTCTGACCTTTTTCCTCAGACATTAGCATCTCCCGTCTCCTCTGAGCTCGATCCTGTCGCCGAGGTGGCTCCTGAGCCGGATACTCCTGCGCTGATGACAAACAGTGAGGAGTGTTACTTCTGTGGTGAAAGGGTTTATCTGCTGGAGCGAATCAGCGCTGAGGGAAAGTTCTTCCATCGGACCTGCTTCACCTGCGCTCGATGCAACATCACACTTAGGCTAGGAGGATACACCTTTGACCAAGATACAGGTGACTCCTAGCTGCTGAATTTATACATATATATATATTTTGACTATACTCAAGTTTTCAACTATATATATATCTGTCGCTCTACCTATAGGTGTATATACCATCTTAGCTAAAACCACAGATTAACGTCTTATTCTTCACTCTAGAGTAACGCGACAGCAACTATCATTATAAAGTGTTGTTTTTTTTTCCTCAAAGCTGTTATAGAGTCAAATATTAGATATCCGACCCACGCTGACTGAAGCTTCGAGTATTTGCTGGTGATTACTGTCAAAGAGGCAGCTTTAGTCCATATCTGGTCTAACTCCTTCGCTTTTATTGTCTTTTTGCCTATCTAGCACTCCTCCGTGAAACTGCTTGATGCTGTATTATTGTGTATAAAGTGCTTATATCTATGTTTTCAACAGCTCTCGCATCAGTACTGTGATTGTTCTCTCAAAGCCAAGATCAGATTTTGCTGCTATAAGTGAATCACCGCTTAATTATTTATGTGTATAATTAATCATTTGCGCTGAGACCCTTTTCAAAGGGGTCTGTACTCAGACTAAAAGGAGATGAATAATTTAAGAAAACAGCAGGGGTTTCCCTCTTTAGCCTTCACTTGTCTCTAAATTTCAACTTTTCTTGTTTTGTTTTTTTAACATTTTTTTTGTCTCTGATTTCTCCACAGGGAAATTTTACTGTGAGCTACACTCTGAAGAGCTGGCAAATGGGCCTGCAACATCTTGTGAGGTGGGTCACTGAAGAGAACTGATGTAAACCATGCTGTTGCTTGCTGCTGACGACTCCAGACACCATGTTGAGTCCTCTTATTCATTATGCTCTTATTACACAATCTTCAGTTGCATCATCTTTCTGGCTGACGGGTTCAGTGTCAGCAGGACTCGCTTGATTGCGGAGATACATCTAATGAGAATATTTGTTTCCAAACATACAGTTAGAGCCCAGTAATCATGATAACAACAAAACAAGTTTACAATACATAAAATCATTAGGAACACAGATTTGTATGACAGGCGGAAGGTAATCATAATGAGTATGGCAATTTATAGAGGTGCATTTTGAGACAGGATTTGAAAGCAGAGGGAGAGTTTATGTTATGGATCTCTGGTGGGAGGGAAGCCACAGGTTGGCCAGAGCAGCTGAAGGCTCTAGATCCCATGGTAGTCACGTGGATGGATGCCACAGTGAGATGGATAGAAGAAAAAGACTTGAGAGTGAATGGTAATGGACTGGTTCTTATATAGCGCTTTTCTACTCTCCTGGAGTACTCAAAGCACTCTATACAACACGCCGCATTCACGCCATACACACCCATTCACTGTTATCCATATGGTGAGTGCTTTCTAACTATCATTCATAAGCATTCATACTCCGATGGATGCATCAGAGAGCAAGTCGGGGTTAGTATCTTGCCCAAGGATATCTGGCATGCAAACTGGGGGAACCAGGGATTGAACCAGCAACCTTCCGATCAGCAGCTAACCTGCTCTACCTCCTGAGCTACAGCCACTCCAAAGCTTACAGCACCTGGTATTCCCAGGCGGGCTCCCATCCGAGAAATTAGAGATAAAAAAAAATGCTTAGCTTCCGAGATCAGATGAGATTGGGCATGCTCAGGGTGGTATGGCCGTAAGAGTGCGAATGGGTTTGTTGATGTGCAGAGGCTCAGAGAGGGACTGTGAAGAAAGGTTAAGGATTGCATTAAAACTGAGGAACAGAATATTGAAATTAGTGCAGTATTTAACTTGAGCGCTGCTGAAGGACAGGTGTGATGTGACTAACGGACTGAATGCTGGTGATGATGCAAGCAGCAGAGTTACGGATCAGTTCAAGGATGATAAGAACAATATCTTCTAAGCAATAAGAGGAAGACCAAAGAGACAGGACTCGGAGTAATCAGTGAGAGATATAGCCAAGGTGTGAATTAGGACAGGAATACCGTTCGGTGTGAAAGATGGATGGAGGCGATCAATGTCATGTAGATGGAAGTATGAGGATGGAGTGACGCTACTGATGTGAGCTTGGAAGGAAAGTGTGCTGTCAAGGATGACACACAGACTCTTAATCTGGGAATGGGAGAGAGAGAAACTGAGGAGGCGTCAATGTGAAGGGAAAACTGTTAGGTTTTGACAAGGTGGTGTTGGTGCGAATGAGGAGAACATCAGTTTCATCACCGTTCAGTTTGAGAAAGTTGGTGAAGAACTGGATTTTCCTAGAAGCTAACACAGAGGGATGTGTGTGGGACATGTCGGATGGAATAAAATGCCTTTTGTTATTTGCTAACAGACAGCAAAGGAGTATTTGGTGGATAGATAGAGCTGGAGTCATCAGCATAACCTGGAAATTGATATTGAATTTATGGAAGATATGGCCAAGATGAGGGAGATAAATAGACGAGGCCCGAGGACAAATCCCTGAGGAACACCAGAAGTAATTAGAAATGGGTGGGATTTGAACTGAGGCCAGAGAGAGAGAGGATTGAAACCAGTTTAAAGAGGTGTCAGTGATTCCAATAGAGACTAGGATTATAAATACTCTAGACTAAAAGTTATTGACATTGTTGGGGTCTGCAGCAGGCTTCTCTAGTATAGATGTTACTGCCGCTGGTTTAAGAGAAAAGTGTACAATAACAGAGGTAAGGGGGGAACGCATGGTGACAGTCGTTATGGTGAGCAGGGTTTAATCAAGACTGCAGGAAGATGATTTCATTTACTGGTAGATGGCTTTGATTTTTCAACAACAGAGGTACGTTTCAAACAAGTGAACAGGAGGGAGGGGCTGAGGGAACTTGTAGATACAAATTTTAAGAAGGGTTACTTGTTAGTTGCTGGTGAATCTTATTTAGGCATTAACTGAGTTTTTTTTCTATAACATATTTCATTTTTAGCTATGTGATGAAGATAAGCTTAGTGCAGACGCAGTTTTAATTCAAGGTTATTTGCATCCAAATTGGACAAAGCGTTTAAGAATTACACCCTATATGTAGCCTTGTGTTTTAGATTTAATTTAGTGTTTTTTCCAAGAGGCCAAACCTAATTGTATCATTCACTCAGAAGCTGTTTTGTGGACAGTTATAAGATATTCCAAGTGTAGTATTTGGATTTTGAGGCAACGGCTGTAAACCCACAACATGAGTTCAAAGGTACTCTCCATGCAAAAGAAGCGGCCTATCCTTAATTTGCTAATCAAAACAAAGCATCAAAGAGATAGCGGGAATGTTAGGAGTGGACAAATGAACTTGTACTTTCAACAACATAAAAAGCTAAAAAATCTAGTCCATTGACCGTAGGGCTGTATGATTTTAGGATCATGGGGATTTAGTCATGAGAGAAAAAGCAGTGTTCATCACAAGCTGCAAAGTGGTGATAAAATCACCTGAAAAGCCAGACCAGCTCCTGATTAGCATTGTTTGGACAGCTGAAGGGCAGGTTAACCTGTGCCAGTGTGATGGGAAGAAAAAAAGTATGGAGACATCATAAATTGCTCATAATCCAAAGTAAAACTGTGTAGGCAGTGTGATCCATGCATGCATGGCTTCTAAAAGCTCTGAGTCACTAGCGTTTATTAATGATAAATGACAGAGTGACAGATGACAGAAGCAGCAGGATGAAATCTGAAGCGTACAGTACAATACTGCCTGCTCACATTCAGCCAGATGCAGAAAAGTGGAATGAAGTTAAAGAAGTGGATTATTCTATAATAGCCAATGGAAATGCCTAATCTCAACCAAACTGCACATACATTTCTTTCATTTCATTTTCCTGTCTCGCAAGATACAACTAGGGGCCATGCACACATATGAACTAAAGAAAGTCCTGATATTTCATGTGACATCACATTAAATATATACATTTATATATAGCTTGATATAAAAATGGCTGCAATCAGTCAACAGTTGATGCAATATTTTTGTTAATCCTTTTAATTACCGTAAATCCTGGACTACAGAGCGCACCTGATTAAAAGCCACGGGCTCTAATTGTAGAAAGAAAACCAATTTTGTTTTTCTTTCTATGCGTTTCACCTGTAATATGAGATATTTACACAGAAATACTACACGTGAGGATTTTTAACGTTTGATTTAATCCGTAAGGTAACATAAACATGGTAACATAAACGTTATGGTAAAATACAAAAATACATACTGCAAATGCTTTTTTTCCTCTAACAGTGCCTGTAACACGGCTACCTTTAAGTATACGTACGTATCGGTAACACACAAATTACGTTGCTTATGGTTTTTTTACAGAACAGTGCACAGAGAACATTACAATGTCTCTTAACAACCGATAAAAATATATACCATATATATATACACTATTTATCATTTTGATTGGTCTACTGTTACCAGGCAAAATGTTTTTGGTGGCATGAAAAAAAAAAAGTCAGTGTAAGCCGCAGTGCTCACAGTGTGGGGAAAAATGTAGCGGCTTATGACCCGAAAACTACAGTACATCTGAGTTATTGAAACTACAGTTGCATCTTCTTTCATTTCAAATCTATAAAATAATTTGTTAATATATAGTTAAATAAACTTAACTAATTTGTATATAGTCTGTGGGCTAATTTAAATTAAACATTTTTTTCATGCGTTTTATCAATTTAGGAAAGCAAAGGAACTCACAGAGAGACAGAAGAAGGAAACGGAGTTTCCAGTGATGAATATACTCCATCGCCGTCAGATGAGGAGTATGGAAACACCCTGGACTGTGGTCCTCCTACTCACACACAATCACAAACATCTGAAGAAAAGGACCGCCGCATATATGAGTCAAAAGAAGACTCCCTAGAACCACTTGTATCAAAAACTCCCACAGACCATCCACCTAAATCTGAGGTAGTAGCAGCCATTAAGGAGGCGGAGGAGACAAAAAAAATGACTCCATGTCCAGTTCCAAAGCCCCGTCGCTCTCGGCAGACTACTCCCAGCCATCAGCCCTCTCCCCCAGTAGCAAAGCCTCGCACAGTCCACCTCATCAGTCTCACCGTCCCAGAAGAACCTTCATCTCCGACTCCCACAGAGGAGGGCTCTAAAGCAAGACCAGACTCCCGTCCTAAACAGTCACTGCGGAAGCTTCAGTTGACCGCTGAGGAAAAAACCCAGCTGGTGAATCTTCACAGCTTCAGCGCAGACTCGGATTCAGAAACCCACGGTGGATCCTCCTCCTGCTCCTCTTCCTCAGCTAATGCTGGGCCTCCTAAAACAGAGGGCCTGGATGGGCAAGAAGAGGAGGGCTACTGGAGTGGGAGCACTGCTGGGCAAATGCGGGAGAAGAGGAATCGACGCTGCTTCAGAAGAAAAGAGATGCCAAGTGGGCAGGCCAGAGTGCGATCAAAGTTTTCTCCGTGGAATCTCTCTTCACCGAGGATCAGCAGAGACACCCGGCTGAGTGTCCACGTTAATCAGCCGGGGAGAGTGGGTAAGCTGGCAACTCATCTCTTTGGTTTTAGCTCAATCTGGAGTCACCCGGGCTTATTGCAACACTTACTCTTACTTTTTCCCACAGAAACAACATTCAGACATGTCCACCAGACCTCAGAAGAGGGCGTCGAAGGAGACGACGACGACGACGACGATGAGGACGATGATGAACAAGACATTGACTTGTTTGATGACCAAGTAAGGATATCGGTAGAGTTCATTTGTTTCAGTTTTTCAGGGGGAGGATATTTTGCACTAACTGTAATATTA